GGAACTCAGGTGGAGGTGGGCAATCCTCTGTGATTGCTTCATCCCTCTTTATCACGAGGTGCCGGATGACTCTTTCATCTTTGTCTAACATGTTCTTAAAGTCATTGATCCATCTGGCTTCCAACTCAAAGTTCATCAAGATGTAGTGAGCATTTTTGGCTTTCTGTATTTTGTATGCTAACCTTCGCATGCCCCAATCATTGAATCTCCATATCCTGCCTTTCTTCTCCCTCACAAAATCTGCAACAAGTGGTTACAAGGTATAAGAATCAGCAGAGCCACTTTTAATGGAAACCTCAGTAGAAGATTGCCAGTTAAATCCACTGCAGAAGATGAGGAGCTTTAGCAAAGTCAAGCAATATGCATGTGAATGTGTGTTCCATTAAGAAGAAGAGCTTGGCATGCAAATAGCAGAATATTGGAAATAAAGAATGAAATTCATATAAGATGGCAACAGATGCAGCATTGGATCCTTTAAATATGAAATGAATAACAAACTACATAAATGAAATAAAAGTAATTGTACGTCACATAACTCTTAGTAAAGGTTTAACTATGCATGCTGTATGCCTGTATCAGGTCATATCTCGATAGGAGATAACAGCTGAGAACCATAAAGCATGATAAATTAACAGCAACCTAGACAAGCTTACAGAAAATCTGTATCAGCATGTTAGGAACCAATTCGCCATCAAATTGAAATTATAAGAGCAAAATTAAATTCAATTGGCAAATTAGTTGAATTCACCTGTTTGGAATACCCAACCCTCTGTACTTGAATTCAAAATCATTAATAAAAATTCAATTTTTAAGTTTCCTTTATCGCCCTCATCTCCATCATCTTCCTTTTGTTTGAGATGAGATTGAATGGACAGTTTAGGTAATACATATTTTAAACAGTAATTATCAATATTACAGTAGTAAATCGCAGCAGCTCTTGAGATACGATTTGTAACAGTGGATTGTTTAACAAATTGAATTCCAATTCCTTACTTCACCATTTATTCCAGGCATGGTAATTGAATTCGATTTTAAGTTTTTTAAGAATTGAATTCAATTCTTAGTATTCCAAACAAGCTAGACTAGAAAGTCATTCTTCTTGATTTTTCTTAACATATTTATAGGAATTTCCTAGCTAGCAACAGCATCGACTAGTACTTCACCCACTCAGAGATGACACAAAAACAAAGAAAGAAAGAAAGAAAAGAATCAACAACCTCAGAAATTGATTTGAGCCATGCTTTTCAAGCATCAAGAACTAGTGCCAGGTTATATTCTGCATGACAGAGGATATGCTAGTTGAGGGATATGTTAAATGGATTGCAGGTTGAGATGAGAAGGATAACAACTAACAAGTGGACCATCCAAGTGAGAGAAATCAAAGAATAGGTCAAAGAAAAGTCAGGGAAACATGAGAGCTAATAGGAGTGAACGGCAGTGATTCAAGAATCAATGGTTGCTTGAATGGATGAGCAAAGTACACGTGATAATGGAAAATCCCAAGGGAGGTTCCTCTTAAGTCTACTTCAAATAAGTCCAAAGAATCCTGAGCCAATTACAGGCTGCATCATTGATCAATGAGTACTTAGCCTTTGTCACAAGTGTCTTAGCATGCTATATATAGTGTGGAGAAAAGGTGTCTAGAAAAGGTTTCCTTGCAATTACATTATCTGTGGAATGATTGTCCTCCCATGGCTCACAAAAACAGATTGGTCTCTTGCTAAGTACAAATCAATCAGTACTTTTTGGAGTTCAGTAATCCAGGTAGTCCGAGGACCCACGAGCTACAAGCTCTATCCTCCAACATGCTTCTTTGGAAAGTTCAGAGATTTTGAGCATGCCAAAGGCAAGAGGGTGGGCCACTGAGACCTCGTATAGCATCAAGTTTCACAATTAGGCAGCTCACTGACTAAAGATGGTAAGCCATAAGGTCCTCCAGGCCTTAATTTTTCATGAATTGTTGCCATATGAATCAAAAGTGACAATTTCATGTTCTCTTATGTGAAAGAGGTCCATGAAAGATTCCATTATCAACAAAAACAAAGTGAAACCAAGATGTATGCAAATTGGAATTCAAAATGTATGGATCGATATAGCTAAAAAGAAATTATATTAGAATGATTCACCAAAGGCATTAAAGGGTTGAGAAAGACAGAGGGTGACCTTGAACTTTCTCATTCACACTGCCAACCTCTTCATCGTGCTTCTCATGGATTAGATACACCACTTCATAATGGCGCACTGCACAGACAACAGAGGAAATAAAATTAAAATATTAGCATACACGTCCGATTCAACAACAAAGGTGAATGAATCACAACTAGTTAACCCAAAGAAGCGCAGAAGCTAAAGGGTAACGGGAAAGTTAAACAAGGGAATTGAAAAATCACTACAATCAGAAATCATTTCCTTCTCTCTTTTTTCCCTCAAACAAAGAACAAAGAAGAATAAGAAGCAATCCGAACGCAGTAAACTTACATCGCTCCACTTTCAATTCACTCTGCAGCTCAAGGTTCAAAAATTCAAAGAGCTTCTCTGCAAATTAACAAACAAGCATTTCACTTCAATCTACACAAATCGAACTATCTTTCTCTCTAAACAAAGAGGTAAGAAAACAAGCAAGCAAAATACATTAAATGAAATTAGAGTTGCATTCAGTAACCTTCTTCAGCATCAGCAAACTCAGGCAGAACTCTACCATCCTCCTGCGCTTTCTTCTGCAATTCAAATATGAATACCCACATCTCAAAACCAAAGCCAAAAATCTACCCAAAACTAACAAATTATGCAACTCATCCGGTTTTTTTTCCTAAAAAAAACTGAGAACAATAACATTTCAAAACATCAAACAAACTAAAACACAAGAACAGCCAAACCCACAAAAACCAATCATGACTTTAAAAAAAAGACGCAACAAATTAAAGAGAAAATAAGCAAATAAAGAAATAAAGAAATGGGAGGGGTATGAAAATGACCTCTTTAAGCAAAATAGCTTCAGGGAAAGGCCCAATGGCTTCATCTGGTTTGGCTACAAAGCTATGAGTGTCTTGTTTATTCTTCTTGTTATTATTGTTTTTGTTGCTCTTTTTGGCATCAACTATCACCGATTTTCTCAGTCCCAGTGAAGGAAATAATGGCCTTGCAGAAAAAGAGTGACTACCACTTGCAATAAACAAGCTTTTATTTTGGATACGGTGGGAAAACACTCTATGTTTTGGAGTTGGAAAAGTTGCCGTTCTGTATAATAGCGTCTCCATGGCTGAGGCGAAGGGGAAAGGGAGATAATCCTTTCCAGGAAATTATTACATGTACTTCGTAAGGTGTTTCGGTGATTTTCGAAGATTTCGAAGGTCATACTTGTAATTTGGAGGATACAAACATATAATCCAGGACAAGAACTTGAGAAATCACAAAAAAAAAAATTGCAAGCTGAGGTTTGGAAATATAGCAGTTGTTATTTCTAAACAAATTTAAAATAATTTATTAAAATAATTTATTTTTAATATTAATACATATAATTTAAAAATATTAAAAATTTTAATTGAAATAAAAAATAATTTTTTTCTGTATTTTTTAAATATTTTTTAAAAAAATCTATCTTCTTTACAGTTAAAGTATCATATGAATTTTCATTTTAAGATCACAATAATTCAATGCATTCTAGTAAGGAAAAGAAAAGAATAGAAAAAAAAAATCAAATCAAAGACCGTTAGCGTAGCTTAACACAAAAGAATCAACATAATCCCAGCACATTCAAAGCATTTCCCTTTCTTTTTTCTCCTTCTGAGGTTAATAATTTCGGTAATTAATAATATATTAACATAGCAATTTCAATTTAAACATTTTCGTTTTTTCTGGTTTTCTTTATTTATCCCTTGATTCATCTTCTAATCTTGAGTACGTACATGGGATGGGCCTGAGTGATTCTCTTTTTAAGAATGAAAAGTGAGGGATGAAGACATGAAGTCTTTGAGTTCTGATCCCTTCTTTCTATAAACTCACATGTTTTCCCGATGATACAGATCCTAAACCTTTTTCACAATTGCAGAAGCTCATCAAGCCTTTTAACATCAGTAAGATAAGCAGCCAACTGCACGGTGATCTGAAAGAGGCTACACAGAGGCGTTGAGTGTCACTGCCATTCTTGCTGGCATTCTATTTGGTTGATGTGGATTCCCCGCATCTGATTGCCAAAACATCGCAGCAATATACGAATTGTGATGCAGGCTTAAAACCATTTTTACCCATGCTAGCACACAACTCAACGAACTTCAACCCTTTTCCCTCTGGCCTTTATTCAAATTAGGAAAGATCACAACCTCTCTTCAAGTTGAAGCCTATAAGCCCTATAGGATTACAAAATGCTTACAAGACTTGAGGGGGATGAGGATGAAAGAATATATAACTTTCATCATTGCTTCTTCCCCTTTTCTTCCTTTTGTTGCCACTGCTACTGCCACCTCCGCCACTCTTTGGACCATTTCCGGCCTTGGCTGATGGGTTGTCATTAGAGATGCCAGAACTGTAGTTGTCAAACTCGCCTGCTTGCACTGCCTTCTGTAACCATTCAAATAATTCTTGTTCTGTCATGGTTTC